TCTACCACGTAAAGCTCATTGTGGTCTAAATTCAAAGTTCAAGATCAAGCCTCGACGGCCCTTGAAGAAATTTAAAACAAAATTCAAGAACAAGCCTCAACGGCACTTGAAGAAATCACCAACCCAGTTCAAGATCAAAGCTGTGGAAAGTCAACAAGCATGACGAAATACGTGATGATTCATTCACTACCAAAGCCAAAGGTCATCTACCACGTAAAGCTCTTTGTGGTCTAAATTCAAAGTTCAAGATCAAGCCTCGACGGCCCTTGAAGAAATTTCAAACAAAATTCAAGAACAAGCCTCAACGGCACTTGAAGAAATCACCAACCCAGTTCAAAATCAAGCCTCAACGGCCCTTGGATCAATATCTGCAGTAAGGGACTTCAAAACGCATCTTCTACACGTGACAAGCACATGTATACGACGCGCCTTGAAGTGGGGGCATTTGTAGACATCGAAATTTCGGTAAAATAAATGTTGATTAATAATTAAAATTTCAGTGTTTATGTGTCACATAAATTTTACACATAGCATGTGACTAAACGAAAAATCAAAATAAATCGGAAAAGTCATCAAACGGGACGCGTGTCAACACCTGGCAGAAATGATTTATTTCATCTAATTATTTAAATCCAAAAAATCAAGTTTTGGAATTCTATAAATAGGAGGCCAAGGCATTCATTTTGGGACACCAATTCATAACCAATTCACCTTACACCACAACCTTGAAGCTTTGAAACTCCAAAGCTCCCAAGCAAATCCCGAAGAATCAAGAAAGCTCTCTTCGTTCTTCGTGAAATCCTCCTTCAAGATCAAGCCCCAACGGCCCTTGAAGAACTTCCACCAATTCAAGATCAAGCCCCGACGGCCCTTGAAGAAAGTGTTCATCGTTCATCGTCCGTTCACCCTAAGATCAAGCCCCAACGGCCCTTTGGATCAACAACATCAACAAACCTATACATCCAACCGTTCTTCAAGATAAGGCCCCAACGGCCCTTGAAGATCCGTTCACCCGTCAACCTTCAAGATTAAGCCCAAAAGCCCCTTGAAGAAATCCGCACAACCGTTATTCAAGATCAAGCCCCAGCGGCCCTTTGGATCAACACCACATCAACAAATCTACCCATTGCAAAGATAGAATCAGAAGCTAAATTTGTAGAAGAGATTGTAACCCCTAAATCATTAATACAAATATTATTTTGTACACGTGTTCTTGTCTCGTTTATCGCAAGAATTCTCGTGTTTATAGTTCTATTTTGCTTGATAAATTTCAATAGAAGTACACTTACTAGGGTGTATATATGTGGATACTTCAATGGTAGAAAAACATCACTTGGATATTTACCTAGATCAGGTTCTTGTAGATAGGGGTAGATATCAAAGACTTGTGGGGAGGTGAATTTATTTATCTCATATTCGTCCTGATATTGCATATGATGGAGTGTTGTAAGTTAGTTTATGCACTCGCCTAGTGAAGATCACACAGTTGTGGTAATGTGAATTTTGGCATATCTGAAGTCTGCATCCGGTAAAGGAATACTTTATGGAAAAACATGAGCAGCTAAAAGTTGAGGGGTTTACATATGCAGATTGGGCTAGCAATGCTACTGACAGACAGTCTACATCTAGGTATTTTACGTTTGTTGGAGGTAATTTGGTTACATAGCATAGTAAGAAGCATAAAGTAGTGTCAATGTCGTTTGCAGAAGCTAAGTATAGAGGTATGGCACATAGAATGTGAAATTCTTTAGTTACGTAAACTTTTGAGATGTCTTGGTTTTGAACTAAAGGAGACTATGTAATTATATTGTGACAATAAATCTGCAAGGGAGATAGTTGACTATAAATATGCATGTGGAAATTATTGACACTTTGTCAAGGAAAATCTTGAAAAGAAAATTGTCTCTATAACGTTTGTGAGTTCATGAAAGCTTCTTGCTCATGCAGTATCTAGTAAGGTTTTTCAAGATTTAATCATCAAGTTGGGCATGTATGATATTTATGCACTAACTTGAATGAGAGTGTTGATTTGAGTCTTAATTGTAAATGTTATTGGAGTCATGTTTTAAGTAGGATGAGAATGTGTAATCTTTAGGATTTAATGTCCTTACATTTTGCAATTACTTTCCTTATAGAATAAGATATATGTGCCTATATATTATAAAATCCTAAAGGATCCCTCCAACCTCATCTTTCCAAATTCACTCATTTTTCTCTAATTTTAGTACATACACCATCAGACTCCTTTTATGTTTCCTTCGTGTTGATCGAAGTTCCAACCACTCTATTCTTCTAGGGGTGGGCATAAAAACCGCCAAACCGAAAAACTGAATCGAACCGTGACAAAAAAAAACGTGTTGACCAAAAAAGTCAAAACCAGAACAAAAACCAAACCGTTTCAAACAGTTCTGGTTTCAGTTTGGAAATATTAAGAACCGAAGGAACCGGACCAAACCTCTTTTAATATAAATTATTGTTTTATTATTATTTTTATATAAATAAGACATTTTTCCAAGAAGACCATGTGCATAAGCCCAATATTTTCTTCACTTCTCTTCCCCTCCTTTGTTGTTTTATCACTTTTCTCCCCCTACATTATTTTTTTCCATTCTTTTCCAGTATATTATGCATTATGTCCATTTTAGTTTTAGTTTAAGATCTACACTCTGGTCTCGATATGAGCCGTTCTATCTTTATATATATATATATATATATATATATATATATGCACAATTTCTATCATCCGATCACAAATCTTGTAGATCTAGTAGTGGAAACTCAAATTTACTTGAATTTGTGGTTGAAATATGTGTTTGGTATTAGAAGTAGAAAATTAGAAAAAAATATATATATAATTTTGGTTGGAACCGTAAACCGGCATGAACTAAACCAGAACAGTCATGAATCGAACCGTACGGTTTTAGTAATAAATTTAAACGAAACCACACCGAACCAATCCGTTGAAAATTTTCAGTTTCGATTCTATTTTGAGGATGGAACGGACCGAACGGGACCGTGCCCACCTTTATATTCTTCCATCACACTCATCTTTTATTTATTTTTTATTTCAATCCGCCACTGATCTTCTCTTATAATTCCCCCCCAAAGAACCATCTCTACCATCTTTCTTTTAAACCTTCCATTCTCGTTATTTTCTACAACTGGCCCCCTCTTCATCACTCTTTCTTTTTCTCTTCCTCTCTCTCTCTCTATTTGTTTGTGTCTTTCTTTTTAGGGTAAAGTACAAAACACTACCTCAACTATTGGTGTCACGACACTTTCATACCTCATCTTTTTAAAATTACAATGTCATACCTCATCTTACGAATTTGTGTCAATGTCATACCTCCGTTAGTTTTTTTGTTAATTTTTCTGTTAAGTGCTGACGTGGCTAGATACAGGGACCACTCACTAATCCAACTGGATTAAAATATAATTAAATATATATTTTAATAATTAAAAATTAAAAAATTAAAATTAAAAATATTTTTTTATATTAAATTGTGGGATTCACTTCTCTCTCTCTTTCTCTCACCTCTCTCTTCTCTGCATCCCCAAAATCCCAAAGCCCAGAAACCCTTATCACTCGTCCCCTCCCCAACCTTCATCCACCATTCTCTCTCTCACCTCTCTCCCTCTCAAAGTTTGAAACTTTGAATTTTTCTGCAAAATTTGGAATAGTTTGATACTAGTAGGTAGGAAATTAGGGATTTTGGAAATGGTGAGCCCCAAATCTGGAGGTTTAGAGGGGGTGCAGCGACTAGTCGGCGGTTCTCTACTGTCGGGCAGACCCCACCAAGCTCTGCTTGTTCTGCGACCAGCACGTGCACTCCGCTAACTTGCTCTCTTGGAAGCACGTGAGCTCTCAGATATGTGATAATTGCTCTTCCGAAGCCGTCTCCATCCGCTCCTCCACCGACAAACTCTTTCTCTGCCAGAAGTGCGATTGGGACGCCCACGGCAGCTGCTCTGTCACTGCTGCACACGATCGCACCCCTCTCAAATGATTTTTCTACTGCCCCTCGATGCTCGAGGTCGCGTCTATTTTGGGTCTGGATTTCTAGGATAAAAATCTACCAGCTCGACCCGACCCGCAACACCAGAACTGGGATATGGGTTTGCCGTCTATGGATTCGTCTTGGAATGGGTTTGGGATGCAGGACTCGATGGTGCCCATCCAGAACGGCATCGTTGACCTGACTGGTGATATGAAGAGGCAAAATAGTGGGGGCATAAGCGGGAAACAGAAGCAGGGGATACAGAAGCAGCTAGTAGAGTTGCTTAAGAGGGACTTCGATGGCGGCGGAGGTGGTAGTGGCAATGAGAATTTGGTACCAGGGACGCAGACAAAGAATGGTTGGCATGAGGAGAATGGGAATGGAAATGAGGACGCAGACAAGCACCTGCCCCAAATCGACTACCTAGAAAAAATCGGCTTCTCCCGCAACAACGCGATGTCGATGTTTCGGCGGTTCCCGCAGCTGTTCTGCTACAGAAAAAAAGGGAAGAAATGGAGGTTTGATGGGATTTTGGGTTTTGAGATTTGTAATGGGATTCTGGGTTTTGGGATTTTGGGGATGTAGGTTGCCCAGAGAGAGAGAAGAGAGAGGCGAGAGAAAGGAGAGAGAAATGGTGGTGGAGGAAGGTTGGGGGACGGGTGGGAAGGGATCTGGGCTTTGGGATTTTGGGGATGCAAAGAAAAGAGAGAGAGGCGAGAGAGAGAGAGAAGTGAATCCCATAATTTAATATAAAAAATATTTTTAATTTTAATCTTTTAATTTTTAATTATTAAAATATATATTTAATTATATTTTAATCTAGTTGGATTAGTGAGTGATCGTTATATCTAGTCACGTCAGCACTTAACAGAAAAACTAACGGAGGTATGACATTGACACAGATTCGTAAGATGAGGTATGACATTGTTATTTTAAAAACATGAGGTATGAAAGTATCGTGACATCAATAATTGAGGTAATTTTTTGTACTTACCCTTCTTTTTTATCTTTTGAGTTCTTTTCCTTTTTCACTCACCTTTCACAAAAAAATAGGTGAAATTCATCTCTGTCGCTCACAATTCGCAAAAAAAATTCTAAACCTCAAACAAACAAATCGCATAAAACCCCAAACCCTCTTATCAACGAAGAGAATTCCCACACAATCGAAGTTTGAAACCAACAAATCAATTTCAAGTGTTAAGCTGCTAGGGTCTGGGTCTTCGAATTCCGACGAGCTGTTTCCATACGAACCGCGGCGCACCGTACCGTGCCGTCGAACACAATCCTCTCTGCTCTATCTCCGGCGTTCAAGCCATTAAGGTAAGCAATTTCTTATTTATAAAACGAATTAGGGAGTTACATCGGGCTTTTGAATTTGGGATTTACAAATTGGGGATATGGGCATTAATTTTTTATTTAGGGTTTTAATTTTGGAGAAATTAGTAGGCTATGCAGGGGATTAATTTGATTGCGTCAGAATTTGAGTTTTGGGATTGTTGATCTGTGTTTGATTTGTTATTGTATTATTGGGTTGGTTTTGAAGTGATCGTGGATTCTTGTGATATCTGAAATTGATTAGATCAGCCATTTTCAGTTCTGTCGGTTCGTTTTCGGTTTTCAAAACTTCTTTGTATGTAAAATCCAAACAGCCTAACACCAGTTGATCTATTCAATCTGATTTCATCTATCATCTCGCACTCGATTTCTCTATCTTTATTTATCCATTACCTCTAATTTATAACTTTAATATGTTTGACTGTTTTCCCGCTTTGATCAGTATGAACAAAATTCTTGAGCGGAACCATAAAAGTTGCTATTTGCATTTTTGTGTTTGTATGTGCTGGTGGTGGTATGAGCGTCTACTGACTGTTATACTTGATGGTATATATCCTCTAAGCATGCTTGTTGGTTGGAGTCAAATGCAAAATCATAGAATCAGAATTTAAGGTAATCTATATGCATTTCATTTGAAGTTTCGTTCCATAGAATTTGCTTCATCGGTGAAGATGATGTTATAACTGTTTTAATGGTCTGAATGGATGATTTAGAACTGCTTCTTTGTATGCAGATTACCATATGTATTTGAGAGCACAGCTGATGTAAGTTCTCTCTCTCTCTATGTCTCTGTCTCTCTGTGCATCGAACTGTTTTGTCTGTCAACTTTGCTTGTAACTTACTCTCCTTGCTTTCCCTTTATCAGGAAAATTTTACTGATTGCAAATGATAAATGTTACGAGCATGGGAAAAGCATAACCAATTTTAAATCAGCTTTTCAGGTATGCGTTGATTCCAGATTCAAACCATCACTTCCGTTTAGTATGCTGTTTATCATTTTGTGATCATAGCACTGTCAGGCGGTGTTACTATTGTGAATGTTATGCGAGAAAGCAAAGAAAATTCTAATGGGAGAAAGCAAGGTTAAGGTGAAGATTTTGGTTTGTCCTTTAGCTTTCAATAATTTCAATGCTAATTAGGAGTTTTTCTTCATATGTTTTCTTTCGTGTTTCAACTTCCGATTACACTCAATTTTATGTATTTGCTGAACGCCTTCTTTGTTTTACAAAAAGTTTCTATATTCCCAAATAGTTGTACCATGAACCAACACTACTTAGACCATGAACCAACACTACTTAGATCACACTGATAGTACTTGGACCTAAAAAAAGAATGGTCAAAAGGGGTTGAATTTAATTTTGATATATGATTGAGAATATGTGCTTTCGAAAGGTTTCAGTTTTTTGTGTTCTTAAGTTTATGTCTCTAAAAGCACCTTAATTTTGTGATTAATTTAATTTTTTTCATTTTGAAGATGAAATTGGCAGAGAGAATGTTGCGTCAAGATGTTCTTGGAGGCCATCAATATACACGCTACTCTTAGGCACATATATATTTAGAACTTTCTACACCTTCAACAATGTTTCAAACACCGCAACAACGCGCAGGTACACCAGCTTATGAAAACTAAAAATCATAAGCAAAAAATTATTTTAAATTATTCAAAATTTAATTTAAAATGGGCAGAAAATTGTCTTCATTAAAACCGAAAACCATTACACACAGAAATAACAAATATGTTAACAAGAGAACTATGCAGCAAAGTTGTTAATTCGTTATATATATTATGTAGTTTTGCCATCAGTACCATGACGACCACCGCCGCCAATAATCTGTTGGTTGCTTCTCTGTTAACTGCACTCCTTGTAGTTCTGGGGAACTCTTCCACTCAGAGCTGTTGATCTTCAACTTAGGGCATTCGTATATATTTACAGTTTTCAAGGATGGGAATTTGACAATGCAATTTCCAGAGAAGAAATCTTGCAGACTTGGTAGCTCGTAAAGTTCCAAACTTTGCAACTGGCAAAAAGAAATCTAACCATCATTTCCTGCATCATCTCCATCTGATGTCGTTGCCCCTATTTCTCTCATTCTTTTAAATATGTGGATACTTCAATGGTAGAAGAACATCACTTGGGTATTTACCTAGATCAGGTTCTTGTAGATAGGGGTAGATATCAAAGACTTGTGGGGAGGTGAATTTATTTATCTCATACTCGTCCTGATATTGCATATGCTTTGAGTGTTGTAAGTTAGTTTATGCACTCGCCTAGTGAAGATCATATGGTTGTGGTAATGTGAATTTTGGCATATATGAAGTCTGCACCCGGTAAAGAAAAACTTTATGGAAAAACATGGGCATCTAAAAGTTGAGGGGTTTACAGATGCAGATTAGGCTAGTAATGTTACTAACAGACGATCTACATCTAGGTATTTTACGTTTGTTGGAGGTAATTTGGTTACGTGGCATAGTAAGAAGCAGAAAGTGGTGTCAAGGTCGTTTGCGGAAGCTGAGTATAGAGGTATGGCAGACAGAATATGTGAACTTCTTTACTTACGTAAACTTTTGAGATGTCTTGGTTTTGAACTAAAGGAGACTATGAGCTCGTTTAGATGTGATTTTAAAATGACTAAAAGCGTTTTTAGAGAAAATGTTTTTTTGGTTCCAAAAGCACTTAAAGTGCTTTTTGCAAGAAGCACCAGTTATGTACTTCTTCCAGGAAGGACTTTAAATGATTTTCCAGAATTTACTTATATTTTTTACTAAGAATTGGTTCCAAAAATATTTTCACCAAAAGCGCTTTTAGTCCTTTTAAAAGCATATCCAAACGAACTCTATGTAGTTATATTGTGACAATAAATCTGCAAGGGTGATAGTTGACAATAAATATGCATGTGGAGATTGATCAACACTTTGTCAAGGAAAATCTTGAAAAAAAAAGTGTCTCTATACCGTTTGTGAGTTCATGAAAGCTTCTTACTCATGTAGTATCTAGTAAGGTTTTTCAAGACTTAATCATCAAGTTGGGCATATATGATATTTATGCTTCAACTTGAAGGAGAGTGTTGATTTGAGTCTTAATTGTAAATGTTATTGGAGTCATGTTTTAAGCTCTGATTTGGTACTAAGGTGATTCTGAAAAAAGTGACTATCAAAATAAGCTTTTTTTTATTTTTATTTTTGGTAAATATTCAGCTTCAGTTTTTTTTTTCACAGTTTTGGGTGAAAAAAGCCAAAAACACAAAGCTGCAAAACCAATCTTTGAAAAATCAGCTTTTTCATATCTGTTTTACATAAAAGTTTATCAAACACTATAATACCTTTTTTTTTTCAAAAGTATTTTTACAAAAGTTTACCAAACACTCTGCTGCTTTATTTCACAACGGTTTATTCTCACAGCATAGCAGAAACAGTTTTTTTTCAAAACACAACAATACCAAACCAACTCTAACTAGGTGAGAATATGTAATCTTTAGGATTTAGTGTCCTTGTATTTTGCAATTACTTTCGTTATAGAATAAGGTGTATGTGCTTGTATATTGTAAAATCCTAAAGGATCCCTCCAACCTCATCTTTCGAAATTCACTCATTTTTCTCTAATTTTAGTACGTACACCATCATTCTTCTTTTATGGTTCCTTCGTGTTGATCCAAGTTCCAACCACTCTATTCTTCCATCGCACGCATCTTTTATTTATTTTTTATTTCAACTCACCATTGATTGTGTGGTAACGATTAAGAAATAGTAATATAAATTGTTGACGTAATTTAACCGTTACCACATAGTCGGAAGGGGGTGAGAGAGCAGAGAATCTGCCTCATTTTAAACCTTCCATTCTCGTTATTTTCTACAATTGGCCCCCTCTTCATCACTCTTTCTTCTTCTCTTTTTTTCTTTTTATCTTTTTTTTTTCTTTTTTTTCTTTTGAGTTCTTCCTTTTTCACTAACCTTTCACAAAAAAATAGGTGAAATTCATCTCTGTCGCTCACAATTCGCAAAAAAATTCTAGACTTCAAACAAACAAATCGCACACAATCGAAGTTTGAAACCAACAAATCAATTTCAAGTGTTAAGCTGCTAGGGTCTGGGTTCCATACGAACCGCGGCGCACCGTACCGTGCCGTGCCGTCGAACACAATCCTCTCTGCTCTATCTCCGGCGTTCAAGCCATTAAGGTAAGCAATTTCTTATTTATAAAACGAATTAGGGAGTTACATCGGGCTTTTGAATTAGGGATTTACAAATTGGGGATATGGGCATTAATTTTTTATTTAGGGTTATAATTTTGGAGAAATTAATAGGCTATACAGGGGATTAATTTGATTGCGTCAGAATTTGAGTTTTGGGATTGTTGATCTGTGTTTGATTTGTTATTGTATTATTGGGTTGGTTTTGCAGTGATCCGTGGATTCTTGTGATATCCGAAATTGATTAGATCAGCCATTTTCAGTTCTGTCGGTTCGTTTTCGGTTTTCAAAACTTCTTTGTATGTATGTATGTACGCATAGTTAAATCCAAACAGCCTAACACCGGTTGATGTATTCAATCTGATTTCATCTATCATCTCGCACTCAGATTTCTCTATCTTTATTTATCTATTACCTCTAATTTATAACTTTAAAATGTTTGACTGTTTTCCCGTTTTGATCAGTATGAACAAAATTCTTGCGCGGAACCATAAAAGTTGCTATTCCTCACAAGACAATGTTGCTGAGAACGAAACACAGGTGATATTTCATAATTACCGAGCCTCATCAAAATTCTATTTGCATTTTTGTGTTTGTATGTGCTGGTGGTATATACGCCCATGTCTTACATGGCCGGTCCCAAGCCCGGATAAAGGAGGAGGGGGAGGGCGTCAGGTAGTCGACAGCCGGCACTCCATGATCACGTCGAATCCTTATGAAAATGAATCCAGAACAAAATCGCGCTAAAGCTAGGGCGTCACCCGTAAGTGGCGCGCTGTGTGGCCCGAGCACAGTGATAAGTGAGCAAGGGTCGCTGTATCTCCATCGGCACCCGGATGCAGTGTTAAATGAGCAAGGAGGCCATAGAAACTTCTTTTCGAACGACTCCACTCTCAAAGTTGTTTGGGAGCATATGCTCCTATCAACTTTACCCGGGACACACAAAAGAAGTACTTTGATCCTATTAGACGGGGGTGAAGGGTGAAAGCTAGGACAGAAGGGTAGAGTTCAAGAGAGCAAAATGCGTTTAAGAACGTGGAATATAGGAACCTTAACGGGAAAATCTATGGAAGTAGTGGAAGTTATGGTGAGGAGAAGAGGATAATATTATATGTGCCTACAAGAAACTAAGTGGGTTGGTAGTAAGGCAAAGGATCTAGAAAACTCAGGGTTTAAACTTTGGTATTCGGGCACAAATAGAACGAGAAACGGTGTTGGCATCATCGTGGACAAGACCTTGGTACAAGATGTTGTAGATGTCAAGAGGGTAGGAGATAGAATCATGGCAATCAAGATTGTAATAGGACAAGAACTTATCAATGTGATTAGTGCGTACGCACCTCAAGTAGGGTTGGATACAAGTTCGAAGGAGAAATTTTGGGAAGATCTTGGAGACTTGGTGCAAGGAATTGCTCAGACGGAGAAGTTATTTATAGGAGGAGAATTTAAATGGACACGTGGGCAGGGAGACAGGCAATTATGGGAGGTTTTCATGGTGGCCATGGTTTTGGGGAGAGAAACGAGGATGGGGAAGCTATCTTGGATTTTGCAATGGCATATATGATCTCTTCTTAGCCAACACCTTCTTTAAGAAGAGAGAAGAACATGTGATCACCTACAAGAGTGGGTCGTCAAAAACACAAATAGATTTTCTTCTAATGAGGAAAGAGGATCGTATAACTTGTAAGGATTGCAAAGTTATACCAGGAGAGAGCGTGGCTAATCAACATCGCTTGTTGTTGTTGGTGATGGATGTACATACATATTAAAAGAGTAAGACAAAAGAACAAGACTTGGAAGTGCCCAAGGACTAGATGGTGGAATCTAAAAGAAGAAAAACAAGTCATTTTCAAAGAGAAGGTAATCACCCAATGTGTGTGGGATAAAGAGGGGGAAGCTAGCCAAAATGTGGGATTCCATGGCTAGTTGTATCCGAAAAGTAGCAAAAGAGGTATTAGGAAAGTCCAAGGGCTTTGCCCCACATCAAAAGGAATCTTGGTGGTGGAATGAGGAGGTACAAACAAAGGTGAAGGCTAAGAAGGAATGCTGTAAAGCCTTATACAAGGAGGAGACCGATGAAAATGGTGAAAGGTATAGAAAAGCGAAGCAAGAGTCGAAGAAAGCTGTCAGAGAGAAGCTAAGTTAGCGGCTTACGACGATATGTATATAAACGACTAGATACCAAAGAAGGAGAGTTGGATATCTATAAACTATCTAGAGCAAGGGAAAAGAAGACAAGGGACCTAAACCAAGTGAGGTGCATCAAGGATGAGGATGGAAATGTTCTTGCTACAGAGAACGCGGTTAAAGACAGATGGAGAGGTTATTTTCATAATCTTTTCAATGAAGGACATGAAATGAGTGCTTCTTTAGGGGAGTTGAGTAACTCAGAAAGAGTGTAGAAACTACTCTTTTTATCGTCGAATCCGGAAGGAAGGAATGGAAGAAGTGGTTGTAGCTTTGAAGCAAAGATGAAGCATAAAAAAGCAATAGGCCCAGACAATATACCAATTGAAAGTGTGGAAACTTTTGGGAGAGACAGGTATAACATGGCTCACTGACCTTTTTCAATAGGATTTTTGAAAACGAAGAAGATGCCAAATGAGTGGCGAACGAGCACTTTGGTGCCTATCTACAAGAATAAGGGCGACGTACAAAATTGCATGAACTATAGGGGTATTAAGCTAATGAGTCATACAATGAAGCTCTGGGAGAGAGTCATTGAGCATAGATTGAGGCAAGAGACACGGGTTTCGGACAACCAATTCGGGTTCATGCCAGGGCGCTCAACCATGGAGGCAATCTATCTCTTACGAAGATTGATGGAAAGATATAGAGATGGGAAAAAGGATTTACACATGGTCTTTATAGATTTGGAAAAAGCGTATGATAGGGTCCCAAGAGACATTCTTTGGAGGATTTTAGAGAAGAAAGGAGTACGAGTAGCATATATCCAAGCTATAAAGGATATGTATGAAGGAGCAAAGACTGCCGTAAGAACTCATGAAGGACAAACCGAAAGCTTTCCCATAACTGTAGGATTACATCAAGGCTCATCCTTAAGTCCTTACCTTTTTGCGTTGGTAATGGATGAGTTAACAGGACATATTCAAGATGATATTCCTTGGTGTATGCTTTTCGCAGACGATATAGTGTTGATAGATGAAACTCAGGAAGGGGTAAATGCAAAGCTTAACCTTTGGAGAGAAGTGTTGGAATCTAAAGGTCTTCGCCTAAGCCGATCAAAGACAGAATATATGGAGTGCAAGTTCAGTGCAAATGGAGGCCAAAACGAGTTAGGGGTGAAGATCGGAGATCAAGAAATACCAAAGAGCGACCGTTTTCGTTACCTAGGATCTATCTTGCAAAAGAACGGAGAATTAGATGGAGATCTCAACCATATAATACAAGCTGGATGGATGAAGTGGAAGAGTGCATCCGGCGTGTTGTGTGACCGCCGTATGCCACTGAAGCTCAAGGGAAAATTTTATAGGACGGCAATAAGGCCGGCGATGCTGTATGGCACAGAATGTTGGGCGGGTGAAACATCAAACACGTACACAAAATGGGTGTAGCGGAGATGAGGATGCTTCGTTGGATGTGTGGGCACACGAGAAAGGATAAGATTAGGAATGAGGATATCCGGGGTAAAGTAGGAGTAGCCGAAATTGAAGGAAAAGATGAGAGAAAATCGGTTACGGTGGTTTGGACATGTGCAAAGAAGGCCTACTGACGCTCCGATTAGAAGATGCGACTGTGGGACAGAGGTTCAGGGCCGAAGGGGTAGAGGAAGACCTAGGAAAACTTTGGAAGAGACTCTAAGAAAAGACTTAGAGTACTTGGATCTAACGAAGGACATGACACAGGATCGAGCACAATGGCGTTCTAAGATTCATATAGCCGATCCCACTCAGTGACTTGGATTTTCCAAGTCTCCAACCGAGAAGTTTTCCTCACTCGGGAAATTAAGGGAACACTACCCCAACCTACATGCTCCACTCAGAAAGCTTCAACATACAAGCTTCAACAAAAGAAAATTCAAAGAACTTAGCGAAGAAGGCTTTGGTGTATTTAACACAATACGTTGAAATGAAGGAAAGCTTATTTATTGATATCCCCGATAAGCTACAAATATGTACATATGCATGAGTCAAAATAAACACACAAGAGGGAGCCTTCACAAAGGTTGCTTAGGAGAAGTCTCAGCAGTCGGTAGAGCCCCAGAAAGAGAAGGCACCGGAGGGGGATCATTTGGAGCCTCAGTACTGGACAGAACCCTAGAAGGAGGAGGCATCAGAGGTTGATCATTCAGAGCTTCATTATGCGGTACAGCCCCAGAAGACGAAGGCAATAAATGCCTTTGGAACAAACCCACAAATCTCTGATGATCAAGTAAAACCTGACCATCAGTTTCCTTCATCTGGTCAAGCTTCTTCTTCATGTTTGTAGCATAGTCATGTGCGAGCCGGTGCAACTGTTTATTCTCATGCTTGAGCCCCCTAATCTCCTGTTTGAGACTCATCACTTCAGCCGCCAATGATTCAACTTGGCGGGTTCGAGCAAATAGGCGTTGGGCCATATTAGACACAGAACCTGCACATTGAACACTGAGAGCCAGCGAATCCTTAACAGCTAACTCATCAGACCGTTTGGAAAGTAGTCTGTTATCTTTGGGAGTGAGAAGGTTCCTGGCCACCACCGCAGCGGTCATATCATTCTTCATCACGGAATCCCCAACGGTAAGAGGACCAGTAAGGGAGACGAAGGATGGGCGCCATATGTTGTCTGGAGAAGGCGGGGCTGCCTCTTCAACAAGGTTCAAGTCAAAACGACGGTCGGAGGGGCCAGACATTTTCAAAGGTGTTGAAGAGAGAAGAGGTCGGACAAATCAAGATCTTAGAAGTGCAAGAATGAAGCTTCTACTGGTGGAGATTCAAGTGTGCTTTGGAACTTAATGCCAGCCCCTATAAAAATCTGCACTTGACGGAGCTTCAGAAATCGAAGAGGCGCCTGCTCAGAAATCGAAGAGGCGTTTGCTTTCTCAAAAGTTAGGCTGCTTAGAGATCACGAGGGTTGATCTCAGAAATCGAAGAGGCGTTTGCTTTCTCAAAAGTTGGGCTGCTCAAAGACCACGAAGGCCGATCTCAGAAATCGAAGAGGCGCTCGCTTTCTCAAAAGCTGGGCTCCCCAGAGACCACGAGGGCCGATCTCAGAAATCGAAGAGGCACCTACTTTTCCAGCCTTGTCAGCACCTGTCACACGCACACTCAGCTTTGCGGAAATTATGGGCATTCTGTCGAAGACTTTTGGGGAAGTAGAAAACACATGAATCTTACTGTTCAATCACCCACTTCCCACACGCAACAATAGCTCACGGGTACCACAGATAACTTTGCCAAAGTTCTCTGCCAAAGTTGAGCACGTGAAGCTTGCAGCTCCTACTACATCGCTCTGACCAAGAAGGGTAAAAGAATAGCAAAGAAACAACACTAACAAAGTTTAGACCCATAATTTTTGAAGGTCTAGCTACCATATTATTACCCACAAGGGTAAAGGAACAGTACCACTGCTGGATAATTGGAAAGTCCCTGTGTGTCAACCTCTGTGCTTCGTGGCAAGGTAGACTAGCAAACATGCCCAACCTTTACTCACATTCGAGAAAACACTCCCAATAAGATTGCTTGCTCCAAAATCGAAGAGGCACCGTCCTCCAAATCTCGAGAGCCAGACTCCCAACATGACTACTTTCTTAAAAATCGAAGAGAGGGTAAAGGAACAGTACCATTGCTGGATAATTGGAAAGTCCCTGTGTGTCAACCTCTGTGCTTCGTGGCAAGGTAGACTAGCAAACATGCCCAACCTTTATTCACATTCGAGAAAACTCCCAACAAGATTGCTTGCTCCAAAATCGAAGAGGCACCGCCCTCCGAATCTCGAGAGCCAGACTCCCAACATGATTACTTTCTCAAAAATCGAAGAGACACTGCTTCCCGAATCTTCGAGAGCCAGATCCCCAGCATGATTGCTTTCTCAAAAATCGATGAGGCATCGTTCTCCGAATCAATCGAAGAGGCGCTCGCTTTCTCAAAAGCTGGGCTGCTCAGAGACCACGAGGGCCGATCTCAGAAATCGAAGAGGCACCTACTTTTCTAGCCTTGTCAGCACCTGTTACACGCAACAATAGCTCATGGGTACCACAGATAACTTTGCCAAAGTTCTCTGCCAAAGTTGAGCACGTGAAGCTTTCAGCTCCCACTACATCGCTCTGACCAAGAAAGGTAAAAGAATAGCAAAGAAACAGCACTAACAAAGTTTAGACACATAAATTTTGAAGGTCTAGCTACCATATTATTACCCATAAGGGTAAAGGAACAGTACCACTGCTGGATAATTGGAAAGTCCCTGTGTGTCAATCTCTGTGCTTCGTGGCAAGGTAGACTAGCAAACATGCCCAACCTTTACTCACATTCGAGAAAACACTCCCAATAAGATTGCTTGCTCCAAAATCGAAGAGGCACCGTCCTCCGAATCTCGAGAGAGCCAGACTCCCAACATGACTACTTTCTCAAAAGCGAAGAGAGGGTAAAGGAACAGTACCATTGCTGGATAATTGGAAAGTCCCTGTGTGTGTCAACCTTTGTGCTTCGTGGCAAGGTAGACTAGCAAACATGCCCAACCTTTACTCACATTCGAGACAACACTCCCAACAGGATTGCTTGCTCCAAAATCGAAGAGGCACCGCCCTCCGAATCTCAAGAGCCAGACTCCCAACATGATTACTTCCTCAAAAATCGAAGAGACACTGCTCTCCGAATCTCGAGAGCCAGACCCCCCAGCATGATTGCTTTTCTCAAAAATCGAAGAGGCATCGTTTTCCGAATCTCGAGAGCCAGATACCACAGACCACTTTTTCAAAGTGCTCTGACAGAGTTAAGACATGTGAAACTGGCAGCTCCCACTACCGTGCTATGACCAAGCAGGGTAAAGGAATAGCATTACTACTTGTTGTTAGGGAGACTCCTATATATGTCGACCTCCATCCCCAACGGACAGGCAGACCTGCAAAAATGCTCAACCCTTCATCATATCTGAGAGGGCACTCCCAACGAAGCCTTTCGAAATATTCAGCTTTCTTTCCCCCCGATAATACCTCTGCAAACAAGCTATATACTAGAGCAAGAATATCTCATATCATCAGGGTTAAAAGCAAGAGTATCCCATATCATGCTTTTTCCCTGTCTTTTCCTTTGGCCTTGTTTTTTACCTGCAAGACAAGGAGAAAGAGAGCAATCAGTCAGCACTTGGAATCAAGCTTCCAGCCAGGAACTGACTGCCTGGAACCCCTTACCTGATTACTTACCTGGCATTGCTCTCGAGTACTCATCTTCAACATGTTATGTTTCCAGGGAAGATTCCGCATCTGCTTGAGGAACAGATAGGGCAAGTGCGAAGGATACAAGGAAGCATGTGGAGACAAGCGTAACAGCACACGTGCCGATACATCCATTACTCTGTCAAAAGCAAAAGTATCCCATATCAGCAGCAGGGTGGAACGTACTCTAGATTTGATGGACTTGTTTTGACCCTCAAATTCTTCAGTCGGCCTTATACTCTGGAGGAAACCAGAAAACCCTCCAGCTCAGTTCAAGAATAAGCCTGTGGAAAGTTACTTCTTCAAAAGCAAAAGTATCTCATATCATCTCTTCTCATTTTTCTTCTCTTTATCCTTCATGCTGCTGCAAGATGGGGAGAAGGTGAACAATCAGTCGGAGCTCTGATTGCTTACCTTGTCTGTCACCTCTTTCAGCAGACCCCCTAGCTCGGCGACTTGGGGGACTCTTACTACATGGTTTGTATCGCGCTTGACCAAGCCTGAAACTACAAGTAAGCTTCAGCTTCAAGTGAAATTGATACATTACCTTGTGCATCTCCACCAGTTAAAGATACCACCCCTGGATGGAGGAAGAGTACTTCCAGAGAAGATGCCACATCTACCTATGAGACAGATAAGGCAAGTCAAGACGACACCACACTCCGATACTTAGAAGTTTCGTGATTACGAGATCATTCTCCCACAATATTTCCTAATGTCATTTGTACTAAATCATTCACTTGTACTCACTAAAGGAGAGCTTGAACCTATGTACTTGTGTAAACCCTTCACAATTAATGAGAACTCTTCTATTCCGTGGACGTAGCCAATCTGGGTGAACCACGTACATCTTGTGTTTGCTTTCCTATCTCTATCCATTTATATACTTATCCACACTAATGACCGGAGCAATCTAGCGAAGATCACAAAAAGCGACCGTTTTCGCTACCTAGGATCTATCTTGCAAGAGAACGGAGAATTAGATGGAGATCTCAACCATAGAATACGAGCTGGATGGATGAAGTGTAAGAGTGCATCCGGCGTGTTGTGTGACCGTCGTAGGCCACTGAAGCTCAAGAGAAAATTTTATAGGACGGCAATAAGGCCAGCGATGTTTTTGGCACAGAATGTTGGGCGGTGAAGCATCAACACGTACACAAAATGGGTGTAGCGGAGATGAGGATGCTTCGTGGGATGTGTGGGCACACGAGAAAGGATAAGATTGGGAATGAGGATATCCGAGGTAAAGTAGGAGTAGCCAAAATTGTAGGAAAGATGAGAGAAAATCGGCTCCGGTGATTTGGACATGTGCAAAGAAGGCCGACTGACGCTCCAGTTCGAAGATGTGACTACGGGACAGAGGTTCAGGGCCGAAGGGGTAGAGGAAGACCTAGGAAAACTTTGGAAGAGACTCTAAGAAAAGACTTAGAGTACTTGGATCTAACGGAGGACATGACACAAAACCGAGCGCAATGGCGTTCTAGGATTCATATAGCCGACCCCACTTAGTGGGAAAAGGCTTTGTTGTTTATTGTTTGTTGTTGTATGTGCTGGTGGTGGTATGAGCGTCTACTGACTGTTATACTTTATGGTATATATCCTCTAAGCATGCTTGTTGGTTGGAGTCAAATGCAAAATCATAGAATCAGAATTTAAGGTTTAAAAAAAAAGAACTGCTTCTTCGTATGCAGATTACCATATGTATTTGAGAGCACAGCTGATGTAAGTTCTCTGTCTCTCTGTGCAGCGAACTGTTTTGTCTGTCAACTTTGCTTATAACTTACTCTCCTTGCTTTCCCCTTATCAGGAAAATTTTACTGATTGCAAATGATAAATGTTACGAGCATGGGAAAAGCATAACCAATTTTAAATCAGCTTTTCAGGTATGCATTGATTCCAGATTCAAACCATCACTTCCGTTTAGTATGTTGTTTATCATTTGTGATCATAGCACTGTCAGGCGGTGTTACTATTGTGAATGTTATGCAAGAAAGCAAAGAAAATTCTAATGGGAGAAAGCAAAGTTAAGGTGAAGATTTTGGTTTGTCCTTTGGCTTTCAATAATTTCAATGCTAATTAGGGGTTTTTCTTCATATGTTTTCTTTCGTGTTTCAACTTCCGATTACACTCAATTTTATGTATTTGCTGAACGCCTTCTTTGTTTTACAAAATGTTTCTATATTCCCAAATAGTTGTACCAAGAACCAACACTACTTAGATCACACGGATAGTACTTGGACCTATAAAAAGAATGGTCAAACGGATCTTTTCTCAAAGTCAAATCGCAATTGTACAAATGGCTGATAGTTTTAATGTGTTGTTAACGTTTAATTGTTTTATCTTCAAAATATTATTGCTGTATCATTAACATTTGATCGCTATATTGCCAATTTTAGTTCTAATCAATTCAGCACTTGAAGTTTAGTTTCTAATCATTTTGAGGTTTGACATTGAATAGATTATTTGTACAATATTATTAAGAGACAAATATTTGTGCAAAAAGTAGGGGGAAAAAAAAGGAATGAGTGGGCGTGGATCAAAGTGAATTAAAGAATTTCAAGAGTCAATTTACTGGTATCCCATACTTCGTTTGATTCTATTATCAATCCATTTGACAATCAAAAGAGAGAGAGAGATGTTGATAAAAAAAAGGTTTGATCTTTTGGGAAAAATGATACAAAGGGTTGAATTTAATTTTGATATATGATTAAGAATATGTGCTTTCGAAGGGTTTCAATTTTTTGTGATTAATTTAATTATTTTTATTTTGAAGATGTAAAAGCACCTTAATTTTGTGATTAATTTAATTATTTTTATTTTGAAGATGAAATTGGCGGAGAGAATGTTGCGTCAAGATGATCTTGGAGACCGTCAATATACATGCTACTCTTAGGCACATATATATATTCAAAACTTTCTACACCAACAATATTTCAAACACCGCAACAACGCCCGAGTACACCAGCTTATGAAAACTAAAAATCAAGCAAAAAATTTATTTTAAATTATTCGAAATTTAATTTAAAATGGGCAGAAGATTGTCTTCGTTAAAACCCAAAACCATTACACACAGAAATAACAAACATGTTAACAAGAGAACTAACCATGCAGCAAAGTTGTTAATTCTTTATGTACATTGAGTTTAGTTTTGCCACGACCACCACGATCCATCAGCAACATCTGCATCACCTTCGCTCTATTTGTTAGAATCATCATAGCTTCCGTCATCATTAACATTGTCACCCTCACCAACACCATCATCTGTATCAACAGTCAACATCATCATCCTCATGGCCACCGCACATAATGTTCTGTTATCCGCACTCCTTGTAGTTCTGGGGAACTCTTCCACTCAGAGCTGTTGATCTTCAACTTAGGGCATTCATATATATTTACAGTTTTCAAGCATGGGAATTTGACAATGCAATTTCCAGAGAAGAAATCTTGCAGACTTGGTAGAGAGAAAAGTTGCAAACTTTGCAACTGGCAAAAAGAAATCTCACCATCATTTCCTGCATCATCTCCATCTGATGTCGTTGCCCCTATTTCTCTCATTCTTTCACAGCCCCCAACCGTCATTGTTCTTAGCCGCTTTAAAGTTTTGGCTATCGTATATGTTGCTAAATATTTCAAGCTGTGACAACCATATACTTCCAAAGTTGTTAAATTCTTGAAGGGAATAGCTGATGACCCTATCTCCTTCAATTCTGGACATACCACCACTCGCAGAACTTCCAAGTTTGGAAAAACTGGGCCTGCCCCTGGGAAATTCTCGTTGCGTAGATACAGCAACTCCCGCATTTCGTAAAGCGTCAATGAGTTGAGGGTTTCATCCTCATCATCCGATTCCCACCAAGCACCGATTAATACTTGGTATCTTTTTAACTTGTCAGTGAACAAGTCCGTCGGAATACTGCCAGCATCTGGAATATGTATGCTTAATGCAGCTAAATGAGGCAAGTCCTTCAGTTCTGAAAGGCTAGCATTACTTCTTTCTCCGCTTACTCCTTCGGGCACCCATCCGTTGAAGCTCTCTTTCATTCTCAAGTCTTCCAGACTTGTCAAACGTGATATAACATTAGGTGAAATCACTTCGAGACCATAGCAGCCCTTTAAATCCAGCAGTCGAAGACGAGTCAATTTCCCTATTTCTTCAGGCAACTTTTTAAACGTAGAATACATAAAGCTGAGAATTTCTAGTTGCGATAGCTGTCCGACTAGAGCTACGTCTCCCAACACGCAACTATCCAAACACAATGTCCGAAGATTTCGTAGGAGAAGAAGAGATGGAGGCAGCGACGAAATACGCGCATCGGTTAAATCCATAACTTTAAGCTCTTTCATCTCCTCAAAGAAGTTACCTGGGATTTCAAGCAACTCACCATCAACGTTCAAATAAAAATACTCCAGTTGTTGGCATTTCAAAACTTCAGGAAGCTCAGGGATGATATTGCAAGACAAAGAGATCATTGTGCAATTTTCAGAAAACTCCTTAATGTTTGGCCATTCCTTCAAGACATCTCCGTTTCCTCTTAGTAAGGCACGGTGGCCTTTGGATGCAATCTTGATGGCAACATCACATAACAAATCGTGCATTCTGATTGATGTATTGTCATAGGAGTCGAGTAACAGACCAGAATCTTTAAGCTCTTCAATCCGCGCATACAATGCATATCGTGCGTCCTCCACTGAATCGATGTTCTTAAACAAACCCAAACCAATTGTACATTTCAACAAGTCTGTCAGATCAGCGTATCCCGTATCATATACAAAAATTCCACAGATCAAGAATAGTGGCTTAAGCTTTTGATCATCCAATTGATTGTAACTCCACTCTAAAGCTGAGAATGCTTCTTGTTGGGCTGAGTCTTCGTAGTCAAACGCTTTTAGGCTTCTCAAGGCATTCTTCCATACTGGTAAAGCACTAGTATTTCTTAAAGAGCTTGCGACTGTGACAACCAAAACTGGCAAACCTCCGCATTTTTCGGCTACATCGGTTGCCACAGTTCGTATGTCGGGATTTTTAACAACATCACCTGCTTTCGTCTCAAATAAATGCCAAGCTTCTTCCTCGTTTAAAACTCGAAGCTCAAAGTCTTTTTGCGACCGCATCTCTGAGGATAGCAGTTTTCGAGTTCTGGATGTCAGAAGTATTCTGCAATTCGGCAGACAAGGAAGTCCTACCGCCTCCAAGTCAATGCTTTCCCAAATGTTGTCTAAAATTACAAGAACATTCTTGTCTTTTACTCTGTCACATAGACGAGGTGCTCTTACTGACATAGTTTCGCTTTCTTGAACTTCCATACCCAACTTTCTGGCAATTTCTTTTTGAATTCCTTCAAGGTTCGGATTTTGCACACTTCTTACCATAACCGCATCAGCAAATAACTTTTCTTTTACAGCTTGCCTAAGGACTTCTTCAACCAGTGTGGTCTTCCCCACGCCTCCAATACCATACACCAAAATCAGGTCGGTATTAGGAAGTCTCAGTTCATCCATGATTTCCTTTACAGTTGAAGTCCTCGAATCAAATGCCTCATAATGTCTGTCAGATACCACGGATACATCTTGTGGGCGGACATTGTACGAAATGCTAGCGAAATCTTTTTTTGCGAAGAGGTTAACAACCACCCGCTCCAACTTTGTTGATCTCCTGCCTAGCTTGTAACGGTGCACTGGGTTTGGACAAACCCCACGGAGACAGCTCATCTTTGCTTGCGTATCAGGCTTCCATAATTCGTTCGCCTTCTCGGTGATCTCAACCACTTCATCCAGCCAGTTCTGGACGTCAGTGTGGATTCCTTCACCTAGTTCTTCAGCTCGAACAACCTCCAGCCGTAGCCGCTCTCTAGCGTCATTTAAGTTGTTCACTTGAGTCTGTAGATTCTCAAGGTTGCTTTTGCAGTGAGTTAGGTAACCCACTTGGCGTATAGCTGGTTCAACTGCATACTTGTCAACTATTCCGACAATTAGACTAACAATCTCCATGCCTGCTGATGAATACAAATTAAATTAGAAGAAAAGGATCTCAAGAAATACTTTTCTTTTCTAATCGACTTATTTCAAAGTGTATTATGAAAAACGGAAAATTCTATTCCACTTCTTGAAAAAGATTACTTTTTGAATAAAACCTTGTCTAAAATTAGAAACTAACTCTAGTTTCTTGGCATTTAATTGTAATTTTCGAATATTAATTACGTTATGTGGGATACATTCATACTGAAACTAGTGTGAGATACATTTGTACCTATACTTATATAGACATCAAAGTACTCTCTCATATTTTCTTGAATAATCACGTTGGATTCTAGGAAATTTGATGGACAAATGGTAAGAACGCTTACCGTTCTTATATAAGGTCATGTCAATTTGTTTAAATGGCTTTTCCATTTGTGTTTTTAGATTTGTAAAAAGAACACATTTATTTGTTTAAAAATTTCCAATCGACATACATCATTTTATGAAAGATAAAGAACCCAATTCCAAATTCCTTTGAAAGGTTATATGTCTAATGGCCTTGCTTCAATTCCAACCAACCAAGAAACATCTTCATCATCAAATAGCCACAATAATAATACATATAATTATATCTAAATTTTACAACACCCTCCACTTTTCTTTCTATTTTTTGGATTTGATTTAGAGCAGGGCTTGACAAAAAGTCAATTTTATATTTCATTATTAAATAATTTCCTGAAAGCGAAAACCAACCAATGAACGGGGAGCCAAAACTCGATTTTATGTTTTGTTCATAAAAAATTATATATCTCTTCATCAACATATTTGTGTTTTGAGGGTTTTTGTTCTAGAATGAAGAGTGAGAGTGGTTGTGAATGCTTGAATAGTCATATCATATTACATTCGCAAGTTATTTTGTATAAATTTTGTATGTGGGATGTATTCAACAACATATGAGATGTTAAGAAAAAAAACCCTTACTTAAATATGGTAAATTTTAAAAACAGGGACTTAAATTAGATTTAAAAAAAACCATTCAGGTTAAAATCTAAAAAGAATCTTATCTAATACCTAAAGTCTAAAAGCTCCTATACAAGCCAATTAGCTTATTGCGAGGCTTATTACACTCATCTACCCCTTAATATAGATAATATCATTTGTTAAAAAAAAAAAAAACCAATATAAAATCATTTGACTATTCAAAAGGTCTAACGTATAGTATTATTTTTTTATTAGTGAATTGGGTGTGGACTTACATAAGACAAGTGTATGCACCAGATTAGTTTCTTAGATTGAAGGGCTCAGAGTGCTCGCTAAGTAGTTGTCTTTATTCGGTAGCGAAGCTTTTTGATCCAATGAAATATTCTTGTTAAGCTGCTACGATTAGCTCCAGCATTTTATCGCTGAAACCCTCTAGTTTTACATCACATACACAAAATATTGCAGATTTAACATGGTCTCAAAGCTCAGGTTCTGATCATTAGGTTTGGGTGTTTCGTTTCATGAATTTGTGAAGAAGAAACGGGGAAACAAAACGCAAGTCTCGAAGAACCCTAACTTTCGATTCAAAGTCTCATATGGCTGGTTCGAAAGTGGTGGAGTCTTAAGGGCTCCAATCTTCAATGGGTCCAACTACAATTTTTGGTTCGTTAAAATGAAGACTATATTCAAGTCTCACGATCTCTCTTGTGGAAAAGGGGTTTGAAAACCCAGAAATGGAGGATGACTCGGGTGAGGATGAACATCTATCAGTGAAGAGGATTGCAATGAAAGAAAATGAAACTAGAAATGCAAAAGCTCTCGGTATCATCCAGCGAGCAGACTCAGATGAAATATTTCCTCGAATCTCAAACTGGAATACATCCAAGCCTACTTGGGATGTCTTGCAACAGGAATTTCAAGGGGACAAAAAGGTTAGATCAGTCAAACTACAATGCTTAAGAAGAGATTTTGAATACACAAGGATAAATGATGGTGAATCTTTATCTGTTTACTTGACTAGAATGTTTATATTGTGAACTCAAAGACTAGTGCATAAATTTTAATTAGCTTGCCTAGGACCTATGACTCTATTGCATCCATTATAGAGGAAACCAAAGATCTGGACATTGTTGGGGTTGAAGAGATGATAGATACCTTGAATAAAATTCAAATAAAATAAAATTAAACTTAAAATAAAAAAAAATAAAAAAACTGAAATCTTGTTCCAGAACTCTCCGCACCCCCCAAACTCCCTCCCTCTCTCTCCCTTCTTCTTCTTCCCCGACCACAGAAGAATCCCAAATAATTGTTCCCCAGATCTCTCCGCCGCGCCCCCAAACTCCCTCCCTCTCTCTCTTCTTCTTCTTCCCCGACTGCAGAAGAATCTCAAATAAATTCAAACAGCAAATTGAAATCATCTCTCCGTCGCAGAAAACGACGACAAAAAACCCGACTGCAGAAAACCCAGTTGCAGGGCAAGACGACGAGTAGGCGATGAGGAAGGCCACAAGGAGAGGACGACGACGAAGGCGATGAGGACTAGGAGAGCAAAAATGGCGAGAGAAAGCAACGACGACAGAGCGACGACGAGAGAAGGCAACAGTGAGGACGGCGATGGCGAGAGAAGGCAACAGTGAGGACGGCGATGGTGAGAGAAGGTGACGGGGAGGACGATAACGCCAAGAGAAGGCGAGAGAGAATGGGTCAAGTTCGCGAGCGGAGAGCGAGAGCGTGAGAGAGCGGAGAGGAAGCGAGAGCGAGAGAGAGACCGACTAAATTATACCGTGAATTTGGACGGTATAAGCAAGCAGGTAAACACTGGATAAAAAAGGTGGGCCCGGATTATTTAATCCGGTGCCTATTTAATCCAAACGGCCACCAAACACCGTACACCGTATTATTAGTACTATCCGGTGCCTTATACGGTGTGCCAAACAGGGCCTAATGGTTTGGGTGTATCTCAAGAGAAACAAGGCAAAAGTGTTCTTTATTGTCCAAAGAGTAATGCTACACTTACTACATATTTGTAATCTCTCTTTAATAAAGTAGGGCCCACTAACACATTTGGTTCTCATCTCTATTAGGAGATGATACAAATGATGGTAAAATTATGTGGTAAGAATAACGTTTTTGTTTTCAAAAAGTTCAAAACAATGGTTGAACTACAACGTGGACTAAAAATAAAAAAGCTTAGAAGTGATTTGAGTTCAAGGAGTTAAGCGAGGATATAGGACTACATAAACAACTAATTGTTGCTTACTCATCATAGTAGAATGGCGTTATAGAAAGGAAAAATAAGATGGGGATTGAAATGGCAAAATCCATGTTGCTTGAAAAGAAGATGCCACATTCATTTTGGAGTGAGGCAGTTAAAACTGCAGTCTATCTTCTCAACAGATGTCCAATAAAGACACTTGATAAAATGAATCCTTTTGAAGCATTTAGTGGCAGGAAACTTGGTGTGAAGCATCCAAGGGTGTTCTATTTGTTATGTACAGATGCCAACACAATTAAGACACAAACTTGAAGACAACACCACCAAATGCATCTATGTGGGATGTAGGAGTTAAGAGAAAGGGTATAGATTTTTCAATCTTAAAACATACAAGGTGATGATTTTGAGGGATGTTATATTTAATAAAGAAGTTGTTAGGAGTTGGGACAAAAGGTTGAAGATATCATCTTAGTACCACTTAGACTTGATGAAGTGCAATGTGAAACACAAACTGAGAGTCAAATTGTGTTTAAAATTTAGTCTCTCCAACATTTAAGTTCAACACCAAAGGACCTAAAAGTGCAAGACTCTTCCTTACGATCAACATCATTAAGAATGACGAGGTTGAGTGAGATTTATGCAACCTGCAACTATCGTCTAATGGAACCTGAAAGCCTTTAAAAAGCTGAGAATGACCAATCTTGGCAGAAGGCAATGAGTGATGGAATTTTATGATTGAGAAAAACTCAACTTGGGAACTTGTGAATAGACCAAGGGGACAAACTAGTGATAGATGTGAAATGCGTCTATAAGAAGAAACTGAATCTAGATGGCTTTGTACAAAAGAACAAGGCAATACTAGTTGCTAAGGGTTATTTCCAACAATCTGGAGTGAATTTCAATGAAACCTTTGCTCCAATGACCAGGTTGGACACTATTAGGACTTTAATCTAGATGGCCACTCATGATCACTCAGAAGCTATGAGACCTACGCGCTAGCCAACTATGCCACCGCCCCTTGTTTGGTTTCATTAGACAAGTGTATGCAAAAAATTAGTTTTTCAGATTGAAGGGCTCAGAGTAATTGTCTTTGTTTAGTAGTGAAGGAGAAGAGATAAGAATGCATGAAGGATGCTGAGCTGCTACTATTAGCTCAAGCATTTCATCTCTAAAATATTCTGATTTGTTCTTCATTCTTTTTCAAGATTGCATCACGTATGTACACTAAAGTATTAAAAAAACACGATAAATAATTCATACACTGACTAAAAAGTACAAGCTTGCATGGCACCAAATTTAGAAGCAAACCAAATGCCATAAATGAGATCCAAATCAAATATGGTTATAATTAAATAACGTACCCTTAGCCCTGTTGGTTATGGATGAAGTGATCAACTGCTCTTCAATATATACGTTCCTTGGAGCACCAATACAAACCGGTTGTTCTGTAAATTGAGAATGAGCTAATGAAGTAAGAAGGGTGAGTACGTAATAATTTCTTTCTTCCTTGCAAAGTTCTTTTGGATACAATTGCAATTTGCTAACTAAATGCAAAAACAACTAAGAAATCTAAAAGCACTAAGTTTTATATTCTTCTAACTTAACATGTGTACCCTAAAGCTAAATGTAATGGTTATCAAATAAGCTCTAAATCGCATGTAAAATTGTGTACGTCACTAAGGTCAACTAAAAAAAGATGCAGGTCACCAATTAGGATGGACTAGAAAGTTGTGCCTGCGCATTGCCGAGGGATTAAAAATTGTAAGAGAGATTGTGTTTCGAAGATACAAAGTGTAAGATCCCACATCGCCCATGGGAGTGATCATTAAATGTATATTATTATCCTTACCTAGCAAGAAGCCTTTTGGGAGCTCACTGGCTTCGGGTTCCATCGGAACTCCGAAGTTAAGCGAGTAGCGCGCGAGAGCACTCCCATGATGGGTGACCCACTGGAAAGTTCTCTTGTGAGTTCCCAGAAACAAAACTGTGAGGGCGTGGTCGGGGCCCAAAGCGGAAAATATCGTGCTACGGTGGTGGAGCAAGCCCAGGAAGTGGTCCCACCCAGGCCGGGATGTGACACAAAGAGTATGCCAAAACAGGCAAAAAAATTTTGCTTCAACGCTAAAAGCTTTTGTCGAGTATTTGTTGATTGTTAAGGAAGCACCCTAGGCAAGGAAAGAAAAATATTGAAACACATGAAGCAAATTTATATGACAATAGAATTATACTACAAAGAAAATAAGGATAGAGTGGTTACCTAGTTTTTATTTTTATTTTTGTTGTGTGGATTGGAGTCTTTTTTTGTTCCAATTGAAGAGGATAGTTTTTCAGCAATTCAGCATGACTTCAGTACCAACATTCTTAGCTAGATACTGAACGTTGTATGAGGCATCGTTTTTTCATTGCACATTTCTTGACTAATTTTTTCCTGTATATAATGAAAAAAAAACAAATCACAATTTCAACTCACTCCCTCATCAGAATGTATAAGATAATCTGAATTATAAAATTCACCCAAAAAAAGATTAAAATTTTGATATTTAAAAATCTCAAAATTACAAAACTCCCAAATTTAAACAAAACAAACTCCACATATGTGTGTTTTTCATGTTATAAACTCGAGTAGAATAGACTTACATACAGTTGTTATAAAACAACACTTGTACCAAAATTTACTCACGTTCTTAGTTGTAAGTTATTGATTTGGTGAAAGTTGGTGACTCATGTAATGTATCGATACATTCATAGTTTTTTAATCAATTTTTACATACAATTAATAATATGGGTTGTATATTTACACTCATTCTTTCCTGATTCTGTTCTCAGATTTTTATTTATTATTAATTCATACGAAGAGAGGTCGCACTTGGTGCGATAGCAAGTGTCTTCGCCCATGAGCGGTAGGTCTCGGGTTCGAGACTTGAGAGCAGCCTCTCCATAAATGGGGGTAAGGCTAGCCGACATTCACCTCTCCCAGACCCTGCGTAAAGCGAGAGCCTTGTGCACTGGGATTAATTCATAAGAAAACAATTTGTTTTTAAAGAAAAGAGAAAAAGGCGGAGAATGCAATAAATAACATATTCACTAGGCTAGGAAAACTAATATCAAATAAGTTACTCAATGCATCAACAAATATAGCTAGCGAGTCTGTTTGAATGTGACTAAGAAGAGGCTGAAATATCTCTGTGAATTTTTTCGGCCCCCGAATAGATGGATAATTATGACTTGCCATCAGTTATCTATTTTTTTTAAATAAAAAATTATCCATTGGTTCCAAAAAAACTGAAAACTGTAATAATGCTGAAAGCATATCTGGTGAAAGGAATGATGAATGAAAAAATAAAATCAAAGAAGGAGAAAATGTGAAATTCCCAGATTAGTGTTACAGTACAACACTAGCAATCACCTTGTTTATGTTAAAAAATGGTTTAAATAATGTTTTGTTGGAAAGTAGCATTAGCATGCCAGGTGTCATCGACTTGAGCACTATGGAGAGAATAATTTGCTTCAGTGTTCCTGAATATGCAAACATTTGGAGCACATCGTAAATTGTTGTTGTGCGTCATTACCAATGGAGATGAGAATAGTTGGCACCAAAAAAAAGCAAATAATTTGTTATTAAGCATGCAGACTATATATTCACATTTATCAAAACAATTATTTCTATTAAATACAAATTAAAGCAGAACGCAATGATATACTTAACATGAAAATTCTTTTACTTTTCATATATCTTTATAATTTTCAATCATCAGATTAAATGAATTAAAATCTAAAACCTGAAATTTTTTTATAAAAACATGGTGAAAACACTTCTAAAAACTTAATCATCAAGTGAATTGAGAATTATAAAAAAGTTGATAAAATTATATTGGTAAACCTGTACCGGAAAAGTTGAAATACCTCAGGACAAATAGATTGGTAACTATTATCGTAAAATATTAATTAATTGAAACCATTGAGGAAAAAATCGAATTTGAGAACATTTTTTTCAATGGATTTTGCTTCGTTCTTCACATTAGATTATCTTGATTAGAGGACGATCATATATGTAATTTAGGGGTATTCAATTAAAATTTGAAATGATTGTGTAAAATTCAACATGTATTCAATTATGATTTTAAGATAATTTATTAAAATTCTTAAAATCTAATTGTATTCAATTAGAATTTTAATGAAGTTTATACTTTCTAAATGTATTCAATTACAAATTGAGAAATTGATTTTAAAGAAGGGGTGTGATATCCACACCCCATTTTACTTCTTACACACTCTTTTAATTTTCGACCGTTGGATCGGATGAATTGAAAAAGATCAACGGACATAAATTATCAAGAGATGTGTGAAAAATAAAATGAGATGTGTGAATAACACACCTCTTAAAGAATTGAAAAACTTGAAAATTTGAAAAAGGCGAATGTTGAGTCACAATCTGAAGAGAATGATGGAATAATACTGATGGTGATCATAGTAATGGTTATCCCAATAGTCAGAAGAAAGTCTTGCGTGGACATAGGACTACTTTTACATATAATCATTTGATGTCATTTCTTTTCACATATGTTGTATTTTTGTCACTAACACGAATTTTGTAGCTTATTCGGATTTTGCTTTGCCCGGTGCGCCCATTCCCACGATGCATGGTTGTTTTGCAAAGTAATGGGTAGCAGTTAGAGCAGAGAAGATTTCAGGTGGTGTAGTTGATGTGGATAGCGCACTCAAGACTAGGTATTACCACCCTTTATTGTAAGTTATTTCAGTTAAAGTTCTGATGTATATTCTATGTACGAGTCTAAGTGACTCTATGTATTCTATATTGTACCGCTAGTCCTCCTGTCACGTGTCGATTTTGATCGTATCTCCGGGTCGAGACATGATAGCAACAACCAAGCATGGTAATGGAAAGGCTGACACCTGATCCACATGTATCTCTATAGTTGTTGATGGACATGGTTATCAAATGGAAAGGCAAAGAAATTTGGGGCCAATGACTGGGGCAGGTTTAGAACCTCGGGGGTTCTTCTTTATCTAGCTCTCATCTTCCAAGCAGGACGTTTTCCAGATAGCAGTAGTTGGAAATGCAGCTAGCTAGTCAGTGAAAAGAAGCTGCGCAAGAAGCCGCGCACCAGCGAGAAGAAATGCTTCGACAGTACATTGTTGGGATAACCCAAGCAATGTCAGCTTCTGGCATTTGCATTCCTGATCCTCCAAGCGACCTTCAAGCACCATTCCACTAGCCACTCCAATAGTCGTTCTTAATTTAGTTTTTGTTACATACAATTATACGAATATTTTATTTATAATATAATTAGATAAATATCTTTGAAGTTTTGATTTATTTGAGCTTTTTATATTAATATAAATAGAATCAATAAATTATTTAAATTGAATATTGTTTTAATTTGAAAAATATTTAAAGGCTTTGCCCGATATTCATCGAGCAAACGTTTACAGTATTTTTTAATTTTTTGTTTAAAACATCTACCCGATGAATAATTCGTCAGGAGAAATTTTTGTAACTATTTTATTTACAGATACTCGACAAAGTGTGTCGTCGAGCAAGATGCATTCATCGGGCCAGATCGGTCAACGCTCTTTTATCTGATGACTCTATTTCGTCGGGTCAACTATGTTCACTTGAAGAATGCTTATATTTCGTCAGACAAATGCTTGAGCAACGGATTTTGCGCAACTAACTTTTGCTTGTAAAACTTTGTCAGGCAAAACATAGGTGATGAAATGATATTGGCCCGACAGGTTTTTTCTTTGTTTGGAAAGGGGTTTTCTTTTGCTGTAAAATTGTTGCTTTTTATTAAAAGCAACTTTAACGAAAAACTTCTGGTACTGTTTACTTTAACAAAAAACTCCTGGTACTGTTCACTTTAACGAAAAACCATATTTTTACACTAAAAAGTCAATATTGGTACTATTCACCCTACCCTTTATTTTGTCCTTATAGTTAAAATTCAAAATTCCCAAACCATTTTCATTAGTTTTCATTTTTATTAAAAGCAAAGGATTAATTTATTACGACCTCGGGTTTAGCAACCACGAGTTAAGCATCCCGATTCAAACGCACTTATCTATTCACTTGTCATAGTTTAATTGATTCTGTTTCTCTGTTATTAAGGGCAATTACATGTGAAAAGCCCCTACATCAAATCAAATATGAAGACAACAACCACCAAATTACCATAAATGAGATTCAAGATTCCAACTCAAATCAAGTATGATTATAATCAAAGAATGTACCTTATTTATGTTGGTTATGGATGAGCTATGAAGTGAGTTGCTCTTCTTCTACGTTCCTTCGAGTACGAATACAAATAAGTCAGTCTGCAAACTGCGAATAAGTTAATGATGAAGTAAGAACGGAGAATACAGAATAATTTCTTTATTTCTTGCAAAGTTCTTCCGGATAAAATTGCAATTTGCTAACTAAAAGCAAAAAGATTCATGAAATCTAAAAGCACTAAGTTTTATTTTCTTCGTCTAATTTAACCAGATATGTAAAAATAAACTAAGAGAAAGAACCGTACGTCTAAATGAAATGATTATCAGATGGGGTCCCTAAACCACAAGCAAAATTGTGTGTACTTCAATAAGGTCGACTGAAAAAAAGAAGCATGTAGCCAATTAGGATCGATGTGAGGCCCTTTTTTTGGATAACTAAATCTTCTTGTTGTGGTATAAGATGAGATCTGGATCCTTCTTTCACTAAGGCCATTCTCTAAGAATTTAGGAATAATTTTTAAAACAGAACAAAAAAAAAAAACAAAAAAAAAAAAAAAAAAAACAAAAAACAAAACAAAACAAAGCAGATGAAGTCAAATAAGAAAGATTAAATGCCGTACCTTTATTACTTTTGGTGGTGAATAAGGAATGAGGATAGCTGCTCTTCAAAGTCTTCTCCTTAGAACAGAAAGTTTGTGATGCTCTTTCTTTTGAGTAAACAGATAGAAAGACAAAAAACAAAACAAAACAAAACAAAACAAAGGTTTGCTGCAATGAAGAAACTGCAAATGTGCAGGGGAAACTATCTTTCAAGGCTTAAGTCCATCGTAGAGAAAATGCTAGATCATGACGGTATAAACCAGTGGAATGAAGAACTTGAGAAATTGAATGTGAGAGTCAACGTGCGTGAATGCAGAAGAAAATGGATGGTATACTATGCATGGTTCGTGTGGAGAATGGAGACTTCAGTTTTGAAAGACAAAGCAGACTGCTCATTCAATTGAAAAGGTTTAGAGCCACATGCTTTGCTCCCCACAGTATTAGGCAAGCAAATAGCTGTATTAGTGGACGCCAACTGTTAAATATGGTAAGCGTCTGAATCCCACGTCAAATAATTAAGGTAAGGGATCTTGCATTAGTTAACTCTTCGTATTGCTAATTATATTTAGGATAATGTTATGTAGATTAATTTTTTTAAATTAAATTTGTATATTAAATGATGTGATTATTGATGATTGAATTATAAATAATCAAACATATGTTGTCTTAATTACAAGCTATAAGAGTGGGACTTCGTAAATTGAGCTTAGACTCTATTTCAATCTAATTTAGTGACACCATACTTGCCATTAAAGTTCACATGACAATGGAATCTGGTTTGCGAGACTATTTCTTAATGTTCAACTGTTGATGAGTTAAGTTGTTTAACATGACTGTGAATTTGTTTAAGAGTAATTTAAATTGATTAAACACTCTTTCACATGGGGCACGGCCAACATGGATCAGATAAAACCAAAATCAAAAGACAGTATTATGTTTGTATAAAAGGCATCTTACCAGTAATAACGTGATCGATTAGAATATTCATGTCCTGATAAAAAGTTGGAAAATCAGAGGTTCGGAGAAATTTTTAGTTGTGACGGGAATACAGATGGTACATCACGTGTTTTTATGCAAGTGGTGAAAAATTTTAATTTTTAAGTTATTAACATTTTAACACACATAATCCACAATTTCTATAGAAACACGTGATGTACTACCTCGTGTGACGATTACACTGAAAAATCTCTCGGACCATAGGGTCCTAGTACAAGTTAACCCAAATCCATTAACAACCTTGTCAGAGCAATTAGAAGGACCAAAGATTTTGAGCTAGCCTTCATACATAACTCCATACCCACCGGCTTCAAGTAATGCCCAAAAATTCATATCTGCGTTCATGTTCAAAACATAAATTTTTTTATCATATTTCAGTATATCATACGTCTCAATTTTTACACGCTGTATATATTTTGATTTTTAATCCAGAATTTAGCACTCAAAAATTTCAAAATATAAGATTATCTGCAGCATACTTGAAACTCTCGTAAAACAATACATACTCTAACTATTTGTGTTGTTAATGAAGATGATGATGCATGCGAAGAATAGGAAGAGGTCATCATTTTTTACTTCACACATACATTTTTAATTTGTGATCATCAGATCGATGAATTAAAGAAGACCAAATAACTGAAATTAACAAGGAGTATGTAGATATGACACCCTTTTTTTTTGTCAACTATTAAGTTTGATTTAATTTTAGTAAACTAACTACTACTGCTCATTGTTATTTAGGAGTTTTAACAAAACACTTCTGGTACTGTTCATTTTTAACGAAAAAACACATTTTTACCTTTAACTGACACTATTCACTATATCTTTAAAAATGACTTTTCGTTAAAAGAGAAGTTTTTTTGAACTTTTTGTTAGTTTTCCTTTGTTATTTTTGGTTAGCAAACCAACTGCTAAATTTCCTAGTAAATAATAAATGAAGGCATTTCAGCTAAAAGTAATATTAGGAAGATCAAATTTTTTAAAACAAATTGCAAATCAAATAATATGTTATCAATAAGAAATAAGTACGATAATTGATACTTAGTTAATAATTCAATTATATATAACTATCCTTAATTTAAAATGGGTTTTTATCACAAATGGTCCCTGACATTGATCAAACACATCATTTTGGTCCATGACATTGAAAATCAATATAAATGGTCCCTAATATTAATCAAACACATCACAAATGGTCATTCCGTTAAAAACTCTTTGGGCAATTGTCAAAGCTTCGTAACTCAATCATTTCTTAACCAAATTCGACCCATAATATATCAAAATGAAGATAGGAAAGTGTAGAATAAGATTATACCTATTTTGAAGCCCAATGGTTGCTGGAGATGGCCGGAAAATAGCCTCAAATGTGACTGATCCGCAAAAAAAACTGGAAAACTCGTCGGAAACTGGGTAAACTTTAAACGTTCATAACTTCTTCAATAATCAACGAAATCGAGTGAATCAAAACGAAAATCATACTTCTCGACGAGATGAAGAGAATGGTATCTTTCTTGATGGCTAACTCGCCGTAGTTTGGTCGGAAAACGGCTCGAAATTGGCTAACTCGAAAATGGTTATCCAATTTCGAGCCATTTTTCGGTCAAACCACGGTGAATTAGCAGTCAATAAAGGTATCATTCTCTTTTTCTCGTCGAGAAGTATGATTTTTATTTTTGAATCACTTAATTTTGTTTAGTATTGAAGAAGTTATGAATGTTTAAAGTTTACCCAATTTCCGGCGAGTTTTCCAGTTTTTTCCGTGGACCAGTCACATTTGAGGCTATTTTCTGGCCATCTCTGGCAACCATTGGGCTTCTAAATAGGTATAATCTTGTTCTAAACTTTCCTATCTTCATTTTGATATATCATGGGTCGAATTTGGTTAAGAAACGATTGAGTTACAAAGCTTTGAAAATTGCCCAAAGAGTTTTTAACGGAATGACCATTTGTGATGTGTTTGATCAATCTCAATGACCATTTCTATTGATTTTCAATGTTAGGGACCAAAATGATGTGTTTGATCAATGTCAGGGATCATTTGTGATAAAGACCCATATAAAATTTTAATTAAAAAATTTGATCTCATCACTATTCATGTGACAACCCGTCCCAAATTTTATTATTTTATAAATTTTAAAAGTGTGATTTTATGATCATGCCCTAGAGGTGAAGGGTTTTTGACTTTTAGTTACCAACGTGTAGTGAGACGTATGGAATTCTTTTAACGCATTCCTGAAGTACTCGACAATACGGGCTCGTAGACGCAAGAAGAAGAGAATTTGGAGTTACGGTTAAAACCGAGAAATACTTTTATTTTGGTTAATATTTATATATAGATATATATATATTTTTTTTTTATGTATATATTTAGGAGTATTATTATCTTATTAATTGTGGTTAGAATTATGGGAAAAATGAAGAAGAGGGTGTCGGGGAGGAAGGAAAATAGAAGAGGGAAAGGGAGTGGGCAAAGTTGCCCAATCTGAAAAATTTAAGGAGAGGCCGAATGAGGAGAGGAGAGAGACAGGTGAGTGACCAACCAGAAGAAGGAAATAAGGGAAATGAGGGAGAAAGAAAAGGAAAGGATCGGCCGGATCCCCAAACCCGTGCCTAACCCGATTTTAAAAACTGGTGAAATTTCAACGTTTTCGAGCCGTTTTTTAGGCGAATTTCACCCCATTTCCACCTGCAATCATCACCATACCTCTTCCCCTTCATTTTTCTATCAAAATTCGATGGAAATTGTGTCAAATCCGTGACTTTTGGGCAATGGTGACACCGACGGGTTTTGTATAAATTCTCCCATTTCTGAAGCAAATTCTTCCAATTGTCACCACCAATAGACTTCCCTTGAGGCCTAGAATAGTGCCCAATCATTGTGTGGAATGTCGGAGTCAAATTGGGGACGAATCAAGAACACCCAATTCTAGGATTGACGGGTTTTGATGAAATTGGAGCCTTTACAGGCTGAATTGGCCTTGGCCACATGTATGAAAGTTGTTCTACTCATTGAGATATTCAATACTGTAATTTTTGAGAATTTTTAAAAATAGTTGAATTTTCCGGCGAGTCGGGGTGGCCGACCACCACCCGCGGTGGCATGTGGCATGTGGGCCAATGATGTTTTAAATAAGTGCTATTACATGCCATGGGTTCATAATTGATATCCATATGACATAATTTCATTATTTGGGCTTAGTTTTATTTCGACACGTGAATAGCTCAAAATATGAATTGACGATCCGACCGTTGGATCGTCACCAAACTTTAATACATTATAGCGCATAATAATTGAGGATCATAGGAACTTACGGATTGATAATCAAACGCACGGATCTTCCCAAATTGAATTTGTAATTTTATAAAATAAATGTTAACCGTCACTTAGTTTTGGGCAATTGACAGAAATCCAACTGTTGGATCGTAATGAAATTATAGTATGTTATCCTAAAAGCATAATGTGGATCTTTGGAAGTTGCGGATTTAAAAATCTGATATACGGATCTTCCGAATCGAGTTACAGGGTTGTAGACCCTATCGTCGATCTTTGATCGACGATTGACTTGTGGTCAATGAGTCTTGTTGATGCACAAAATCAGCGAAGACTTTGGTACAACAGAAAGTGTCAGGTTTTATGACCTTCGCTTGGTTGCTTCGGTCACTAGTGAGGATAAGTACGTAAATGAATAGAGACAGAGAAGCAAACACAGGATGTACGTGGTTCACCCAGATTGGCTACGTCCACGGAGTAGAGGAGTTCTTATTAGTAGTGAAGGGCTTACACAAGTACAAAGGATCAAGCTCTCAATTTAGTGAGTTCTTGTGAATGATTTCACACAAAATGGCATTCGGCCATATTGTGGGGGAATGACCCCTATTTATAGAAAAACTTGTAGCTTTGTCACATTGACATGTGTCATGTTTGTGATTGGTTCTTGATGTCGACACGTGCTGCGCTCTGATTGGCTTCTAATCTTGACACGTGTCGAGTAGTGATTGGCCTCCTGGTCGGAGGGGAACTCTTCTGGGTCCTTGACAGTATAAGCGTTGGCCGGTGCTCGGTAGTTTCGGGATTGGTCAAGTATGGTACAAACAGTGCTCCCCTAAGTTCCCGAGTGAGGGAAACTCCTCGGTTGGGGACTTGCAAGATCCAATCCCTTGAGTAATCACGAAACTTCTAAGTACCGAAGTGTGGTCTGATCTTCATCTGCCCTTCTCTGGAAGTACCTTTCCTCCATCCGGGAATGGTGTACTTAGCTGATGTTGACGCACAAGGTAATGTATCAATTTCACTTGAAGCTTAGTTGTAGTTTCGGGCTTAGTCAAGTGTGATACGAACCCTATAGTAGGAGTCCCCCAAGTCGCCGAGCTAGGAGATCTGCCGAAAGAGGTGACAGACAAGGTAAGCAGTCAAACTTCCAAGTAAGCAACCCAGG